TCAACGTGGTCCACCAGGTCGTGGACCACCTGGTCGTGGGCCACCAGGACGCAATCCATTTGGACCAGGACGTCCTGGAAGACCGGGACGACCACGACCAGGCGGACCAGGTCCAGGTCCAGGACCAGGACCAGGCAGACCAAGACCGAGCCGTGGAACAAGACCGCCATGTAGTTCTTCTACAGTATCTTCTACAGTATCTTCAACAGTATCTTCAACAGTGACAGCCACTACAACGACAGATGCAACCACTGATGCTACCACCGAAGCATCAACCGATTCAGGCAGTACTGAAGTAACTACTGTAACTACAGACACTGAAGCAACTACAGTGGAGGACGACATTGATACCACAGTAGGCTAAAAGTACAGTCCCAAAACTTGTAACCTGGTTTTTGTTGTAAGAACAAGAAATAGAAATTATATAATCGCCAAGTAAAACACAATAAATGGAAATTCTTAATAATCCGTATTTACAATTGTATTTGTCTTATGTTTGTTTTTCTAAATAAGTCGTAAAAGCATCGTGCAAAACAGCTTTCGATGTACGGAGAATAAAAGTTTATAATTTTTCTGTGTTCCAAATTTAATCTAAACCATCCACCTTCATAGATTAGTGGACATTTAAATAGTAGATATTAACAATAAAGAACACATCAGCTGCTCAGAGGATAGAGTAAAAGAATAATATAATTTTTTGTGGATTAGATTAAACTTGGATACAATTTAAGTTAGGTTAGGTGTACGCCTGCTATCCTAAGGATTTACTAAGGCCTATTACCTCAATGTCACCACCTAAGAAACTCAGAAGTTTAAGAGCCACCTAGAGCCTTTACCAAAGTCACAAATGCACTTCAGATGGTTGTCCTGTAGCTGCACAATATCCTGAATAAAATAAACCCTTAAAATAGTTAATCGTCGCCGCATATATGATGTACTGCAACAATACATATGTAAGGTACTTTCATCGTTCACTGTACAACTGCAATAGGAATGATTAGATAGGGGATTCAATTTTTCTACATTGTTCCCTGATCTTTTTATTATTATAAGTTATTATTTTATTATTTATTGTTAAGCTTAAATACAATTGAACAAATGTATCCATGATGTCAACGATATGTCCAGGTTTTTCACGTATGTGAACCTAAGGATTTTAAAGCAGTTTGATTGTCTTATATCATGTATATATTCTTATTAAATATATTAGCTACTTCCAGACAAGCTGTGCCTTCCCTAAGAGCCATCACTTGAGACCATTAATATATCTAATGTTTTTGAATTTAATTATATTGCTTTTTTGTCCTTCATTGAGTGCCAAAGGACTGAAACTGAAGCAATTCCTGCAATTATGAATGTAAAATGTTAAATCGTCTAAAAAACTCCATTTACGCCCTATGGCCATATGCAAGTAAACTTACTTCCTATACTTTTGAATAGTACATGAAGAGCACATACATGTAAGGGAATAATATTAATTACCATATAAATGCATAAAAGCATACATGCTGGTTTTACTTGACATAGATCCCAAGTAACCAGAATTTAAAATGAAGTTTATGTAAAATCAGAAATAAAGAAGAGAGTGTTCCTTTTTTCTGAGCATAGAATTACAATAAATAAATTCAAAATAAAACAGTTCTCTGATGAACTCCATAAGAAGGAATGTCTATGCACTTATCAGCACAAACAAGTACATGCCCGTAGAAGAGAATATATGTATGTTTTCTTAACAAACTGAAAAGCACTCATGTCATAGTATGTCTTTTTCACTGTTTGAAGCAAAGTAATGTCACTCCTGATGGCAGACAATGATGACATCGTGTCCTTTCAATAGTTGCGCTTGAAACAATATGCACACAAACGAGTTGCACAAAGGAAAATGAATGCTTGGCAGCACATAAAGTCGCATTCATGTCACAAAAGTTTTGAATCCAAGACGCAACATCACCATCACCAACACCAACTCAGCCAGCGTTGCATACATGGATAGAATTATTTGGATATGGAAGACCTCGAACTACTTTTCAAACAGATTTGTGTGCGGAAAAATTATTTCCATGTTGTTGTTGACACGGGTTTGTATGTGACTCCTGCTTTAGTTGTAGCTGATGTTAGGGGGGAGTGAGTAAATGGGTTTCGGAATGAACAAATGTGGTAATGACGCTTTGTGTATCTTGAACAGATGACACAAAACTACTTCAATTCCTTCCAGTCTATTTTGTACTTAAGTTAACAATTTACAAAAGCAGCATTTATATATTGTGTGTGAAAGTTTTGGAGAACTCATTTATGTTGGCTATAATTTGCATCCTTTTGATACGTTCTGTGTTTGAGTAATATTATCTCTAAAGGGGATTTACTTTGTGGATATATGAAGATATACAATAAAGATTAAATTTTAATTAAACGCATAATGCACTTGAAAGCTGACAATTCAATATACAAATTTCAATATATAAAAAATACATTACAGCATTTTGTTGGATTTGGAATTAGAAAGACTACGAGTGAGTCACATAACTTTATATTAATATAGCTATAGGGATGATAAGTAATTATAGTACATAAGTTTAAGTTATTGTGCATAAACTACCTATAGGTATGATATGTAAATATGGATATTAAGGGGTAGTTATAATCACATTAATTATACACATAACTTTTTGTTGCTATAATGCAATTATTTCACGATTTACTTATAGCTCCAGCTCAAAAAGTACCCGGATTTTTTAAATAAAACACACAAATTTAAATTTTATTCCAAATTTATTTTATCTTCTTCAAAATATGCTCCTTCTGAAGCGATACACATATGCCAACGCTTAACCCAATCTTCCACACACTTTTCGTAGGCCCGTACAGGTATGGCCTTTAGTTCCTTTGGCGAATTCTCTTTTACCGATTCAATCGACTCAAAACGTTTACGACGACGGGGCACTTTGAGTTTCGGGAACAGGAAAAAGTCGCATGGCGCCAGATGTGGCGAATATGGTGCCTGAGCGATGACAGTGGTGCCGTGTTTGGTCAAAAAATCGCGTACAACAAGAATTTTCCATAATAAAAATCGTTAAATGCACTTGAGGTAGTCTCACATTAACAGCTGCTGTAATCAAACTAATTGGCAGATGGCGCTCAAATTTGTACCATATGTCAAGAAAGGGTGTACCAACATAACAAAATAAAAATCCGGATACTTTTTGAGCAGAAGGTTTGATGGAAAGGTAAAAGCATAAAAAGAATTTTTAGTACTATTTGTATTCGAACAATTCGAATTTTTGGAATAGTTTGTGTACTCGAATCTCAACGAATAGTTTGAATAGTTATAATTATAACTATATACTCTAGTGGGCACACTACAGTAATTCCCTTGATTGAAACAATTTTACCAATTTTTGATATTAAAATGTTTAATTTGAGGTAATTAAAAAAATGATTAAGTCATTCTACACACAAGTTTGTTCTCTGCATTTACCGTGTATACACATATACTCAAGTAAATGAAGTTTCAATCTGTGAAATTCATCCAGATAAATACTCCCGAAGCAATCCAATGTTACAGGAAAAAAAATAAAAAACGCCATATATATGTATAACAATAAATATATATGTATAGAAAAAAATATATATTATATGTATAGAAATAAATATACATATATATAAATAAATATATAGGATATATTTTATCAAAATGTATTATAAATGGGTATTTTGATGCCTTTTTAAATAGATTGTGTGTATTTATATAAAATAATTATATATATCTAACAATCTATATTAAAAGTTCCCAACCTTTTTTTACCAACAACTACTATGATATTTTAGTTTTTAGTTGGGACCACAAAGTTTTAGAATAATAAACTGAATGATTATTTTAATATGCTTTTTGCATCTCTAGTGTAATGTCTAATGAATTGTCTAAGTACATTATAAATACATCATATAGGCTATAAAATAAATGAGGTCTCAATGGACAAACTACAAGCTATGTATCTATCAAGATCCTTTCATTCTACATTACTATGATTTGCATACATATACCACAAACTTATTTTTCCTTTCAATAATTTATTTACTATGTTTTTGACATATATTTGGCAAAATAGGTTTTTTTCGAAAAGTAGTGAACTACAACAACAAAAATTCTTTTTCTATTAATTTAATTAATTGAATTTTTGTCTGACCATACAGCTGTTTCGAGTATTGCCAAATACCCACTATCAGTGGTCTTGAAAATAATTCTTGTATTTAATTATGTAAGAAACCCGTTAGCAGCCTTAAATTAAATTTTGAGAATTTAAGGATGTTTTTGTAGGAGTACAGTGATATCAGTGCTGTACTTTGTTTAAGTCCTGCGAAGCTTTCCCAGTACTTCAGCCGCATGTGATTTTCCCTGTCTTTGATTATCCGCTTTGTACTGGCCCAGTTTATCCCACAAAAGGGTTGAGGTCCTATAAAAGCCGTTTTTGATGCAGTTTTGGCTAGCTCATCGGTTTGTTCATTTCCCAAAACTTCCGTTTGACCCGAAACCCAGTAAAGACTAACCTTATTCCGAGTTGTAAGTAGCTGTAAGAGCTCATAATATTCAAGAACCTGTTTTGACTTGAAAGTCCAAGAGAACAGAGCTTTGAGAGCAGCCTGGCTGTCGGAGTAAATAACAATTCTCCAGCCAGATGGGTTTTTGTTAATGTTGAATCTTGTGCCCAAGTTAATTGCGTGGATTTCAACTCGAAAGACGCTCGGCCATGTGCCCATTACCTCCGAAATTTTGGTGTTGAAACCATATACACCAGCATCAGTGCTTCCATCCATTTATGTATATACAATATTGTGTATACATTTTGATCATATGTTTCGAAGTGCTTTAAGCGTCATAAATTTTTGTTTTGGATTAGATTCATTATGACAGACTTTGTAATGGACTGATGTTCAGTTGAAGTGTCTAACTTACAAATATATGCTTCATCACCGTTTACAATATTATTTACATATCTTTAAGTGCTACCATATTTTTTATCATAATTTCATCTTAACGATACGAACCTCTTTGTGAACTTTTGTCGAATTATATGCGTTAGTATAATTATACAATATTTTATGAATTTCAATTTCAGAGTATATTATTTGACAATCTATCAGTTTTGCACGATATTAATGATTTTGGACGACCTTTATGAACTTTCTCATCAAGTGAACGACGTCCGCGATCAGTTTTGTTGTATCAGCATTATATAGTTGCTAAGAATGGGGCTTCATAGTGCCGAAATGGTACTTTTGTGTTGATAGTCTTCATCCTAAAATTTCACGAATTTTATTATGACTTATTTCTATATTTTGCTTAGATACAAAATTCCGTTTACACTAAACAACAAAAATCAGTATTAATTCATAAAACTTTTTGGCTACGATATGAGTCAATAATGCCAAAGTTTTCTGTGTAAATTTCAGCATATAACAATACCTAATCTTATCTATTGTCAC